GCTGGTAAACCCAACACCTGTCAGGAGCTGAGTTGAGGCAGTGAGGACTGCTTGTGTCCAGGTGGTCCGGTTGCAGTGTAGCTTGACTCCACCCCACTGTACTACAGCCTGGGGTTGACAGGACACAAGACCCTCTCTTAAAAAACAAAACAAAACAAAACTAAAACCCACCATAGTCAAAAGGAAAAACAACCGCCAAATGTCCATCAGAGGATGAACAGAACAATGTGGTCCAATCATTACATTCTTAAAAAAGGAGAGTGGGGCCCAGCGTTTGCTATAATCCCAGCACTTTGGAGAGACCGAGGCGGGCGGATCACGTTTAGGTCAGGGAGATCGAGCACCATCCTGGCTAACACGGTAACACCCCGTCTCTCTAAAAAATACAAAAAATTACGCGCGTGAGTGGCAGCGCCTGTAGTCCCGGCTACTCGAGGGCTGAGGCAGGAGACACGGAATTGGTGTGGAACCGGAGCGGAGCTTGCAGTGAGCTTGAGATCCCGGCCATTTGGACTCTGGCCTGGGCGACAGGAGCCAAGGGACTCCGTTCTCAAAAAAAAAAAAGAAAAAAAAAAAAGGAAGAGAATTCTGACACATGGGCCTCCAACATGGGGTGAACCTTGCAAATAAGCTATGTATAAAGAAGTGCCGGATTATAAAAAGACGATTCTATTACTTCCATGAAATTATCTAGAATAGGCAAATCCCACAGACAGATAAACGAGGTTACAGGGGCTGGGGGAGGGACTGTTTGGGTGAACGAAAAGTTTTGGAATAGTAGCTGCTGATGTTGCACAGTATTTTGAATGTTCTTTTTTTTTTTTTTTTGAGATGGGAGTCGCACTCTGTTGCCAGGCTTGGATGAGTTGGTGTGATCCTCGGCTCACTGCAACCCTCCGCCTTCTGAGTTCAAAGCGATTCTCCTTGCTCAGCCTCCCAAAGTTGGCTGGGATTACAGGTGGTGCCTGACCTCAGGTGATCCACCTGCGCTCAGCCTCCCAAAGTGCTGGGGATTACAGGCCCGTGAGCACTCACTCGGGCTGAATGTCTTAACTAAACACTAAATATGACCACTTAAAGTGGCTGAAATGATGCATTTATGTTAGCATACTTTTTTTTTTTTTGACACAGACGTCTGGCTCATGTGGCCCAGCTGGGAGTGCGGTGTTGCGGATCTTCTGCGACAGCACACTCTGCAGCGTGAGCCACTGTGCCGGTACATAAATTTTACCACAATTCTTTCAGCAAAAGCAGTTAAAAGGGCAGGAACCCAATGTTGTGCCAGAAGACAGTGCTGGAGTGTGTTTAACGAAACTCAAAGCAAAGGAGATGCGATTCAAGGGATTAATGAGCAAGTTCTCCTTCAATTAATCAAGGCTGCAGAGAAAGTTATTCCAAGCATTCAGAAGTCTAGGAACCCCACCAAAGGGCCTCTCCAAGCCTCTATCGGAGGAGCTCTATCAACACGGTCGGTGGCTGGGAACGGCTGTTCACCAGGACAGATGGGAGCACAACCCATAGTCAATTGTGAGGATGAGACGTTAGGAAAAAATAGGTGGGGCAAGGGAGAGAAAATTACTATGTTATATGCTGTGTTCCTGAGTAGTAAAAAAATGCCATTAAGAATGGGCGGAATATTGGCCGGCACGGTTGGCTCAAGCCTGTAATCCCAGCACTTTGGGAGCCGAGACGTTCGTGGATCACGGAGGTCAGCAGCATCAAGACAATCTCTGGCTAACCCGGTGAAACCCCGTCTCTACTAAAAAAAATTACAAAAAACGTAGTTGGGCAAGGTGCGGGCGCCTGTCAGTCCCAGATTACTCGGAGGCTGAGGCACGGGGAGAATGGCAGTAAACCCGGGAGGCGGAAGCTTGCAGTGAGCTGAGATCCGGCCACTGCACTCCAGCCTGGGCGACAGTGCAGAGTTGAGACTCCGTCTCAAAAAAAAAAAAAAAAAACACAAAGCACGACCCGATACAAAGACTCGCCCAGATCCAGAAGACATGAACTGAAAAGAGAATGAAAAAGATGCTCACGTCACATGAAGTGACTTTACCGATGCCAGACAAAACTTTAAACCAAAAAATGTTACTACATTTAAAGGCAGACACTTTAGATTGATAAAAGGGTCACCACATCTGGAAGATACCAGAATTATAAACATACATAAAAGGAGAATCCAAAAATACATGAAGTAAAAACTGATGGAACAAGGGCCAGAAATACATAATTCTACAGTTAGAGTTGGACGGGTAACAATAGCTCAGTTTCTTTTTCTCTCTTTTTTTTTTTTTTTTGATCAGGAGTCTTGCTGGTTGTCGCCCAGGCTGGGAGTGTAGTGGGTGCGATCTTGGCTCACTGCAACCTCCACCTCCCAGGTTCACACCATTCTCCTACCTTCAGCCTCTCAAGTAGCTGGGACTACAGGTGCCCGTCACCATGCCTGGCTAATTTTTTTTTTTTTTTTTTTGAGTCTCGGCCTCCCAAAGTGCTGGGATTACAGGCTTGAGCCACCGCGCCCGGCCAACTTTATTTATTTTTTTGAGACAGAGTCTCGCTCTGTCATCCAGGCTGGAGTGCAGTGGGGTGATCTCAGTTTCTTGCGACCTCTACCTCACAGGTTCAAGGGATTCTCCTGCCTCAGGCTCCTGTGTAGCTGGGACTACAGGCGTGCGCCATCACGCCCAGCTAATTTTTGTGCTTTTAGTAGAGACGGGGTTTCACCATGTTTCCCAGGCTGCTCTCGAACTCCTGCCCTCAGGTGATCCACCTGCCTCGGCCTCCCAAAGTGTTGGAATTACAGGCATGAGCCACTGCACCCAGCCTATATCTTTAATTTAAAAAAAATTTTTTTTGAGACAGAGTCTTGCTGTTTCACCCAGGCTGGAGTGCAGTGGTGCGATCTTGGCTCACTGTAACCTTCACCTCCCAGGTTCAAGCGATTCTCCTGCCTCAGCCTCCCAAGTAGCTGGTACTACAGGCGCCCACCACCACACCCAGCTAATTTTTGCATTTTTAGTAGACATGGGGTTTCACCATGTTGACCAGGATGGTCTCGATCTCTTGACCTCATAACTGCCCGCGTTGGCTTCCCAAAGTGCTGGGATTACAGGCGTGAGCCACCATGCCTGGCCCAATGTTAGAACAATTTGTACTGGCCAGGCGCGGCGGCTCACGCTCGCAGTCACAGCACTCTGGGGGTGGCGGATAGCTGGTTCCCAGGAGTTCAAGACTAGCCTGGACAACGTAGTGAGACTCCGTGGCCACAAAAGATAGAAAAACCTAGCTGAGCATGATGGTCGCAGCTACTCAGGAGGCTGAGGCAGGAAGATAGAGCCCAGGAGGTCAAGACTGCAGTGACCGGTGATCGCGCCACTGCACTCCAGCTTATGCGACAGAGTGAGATCTTGTCTTGAAAACAGAGGAAAGGTTGGCCTGTGGCTAATCAGAAAGGGCCTCCTGTTCTTGGGGTCTCAACGGTGTCTTCCGTCCACTCATTCGCAGTCTTTTTCCCTGTGGCTGTCCGAGGGCCTAGACTCTGGCTTGTTACCTTTTCCTAAGCTGTAGAAGAGATCCTGCTGGCCCGAGTGGGCGTGTTGAGCGATTGCCGGATGAAAGACTAGCAGAGGTCCTGCCTGCCCTGTGACACTACCTCGCAGGGGACAGTAACAGCCTCCGCAGGGGCTCCCTCCTGGGGGGCGCCCCACACGTGCTGCTCGAGGGCCCCTGTGGCTGTCTCCGAATGTTCAGCATCTTGCTCCTCCTCGCAGCCACCTCTGCCCAATTGAAGCCCTGGGCCCAGGGTTGGGCCTCCCTGGGCCGGGCCTGTACATCCTCGGCACATTGTGTGATCCAGTGCCATCCTGTTCTGCCCTCAGCCCTTCTTCTTCAGCACTTATTCTGGTTCTGATTGCGGTCACTGCTGGCATCAGTCCCTGGACTTCAGAGGTAGCGGTGGCAGCCCTTTCAGAGCCTGAGTGGCCACCCAGCCTTGCAGCCCCTGGCTCACCTTCCAGTTGCTCTCCGCGACCGCCCCTGCCAGCCCTGGCCTTGCCTGCTAGACTCCAGACCGCCTCGGGTTTGGCCGCACCTCGTCATTCCCTCTTGCTGTGGGGTCTGTGGCTGTGCGCTCTGGGAGGTGGTCGTGGCCTCTTTCCAGGGCTGCCCTCCGCCCTCACAGTTGCCATAGCAACTTCTCTTTTTTTTTTTTTTTTTTTTTTTGAGACGGAGTCTCGCTTTGTCGCCCAGGCTGGAGTGCAGTGGCCGGATCTCAGCTCACTGCAAGCTCCGCCTC